GCGTCTGCGTGTAAATCATTCATCAATTGGTTTAGTTGTGTACGGTTTAAAAAGATCAGTATCTTAAATCCCTAGAACGTGTTTCCTCTCCATGATAGCTAGAGACTTTTTTGAGATGGCGAACATACGGTTTTCACCCTTAATAATCACCCTCCTCCCTCCCCCCCCCCCCCCACCACACACACATTCACGCACAGACCCTTCCCACCCCCTCTCCTCATCCGGCAATATTTCTTCCTATTAAGTGACATAGCTTCAGAAGCATGTTTTTGCCTCCATTTTGCCTCCATTGTCTCCATCATCAAACCGTGTGTACCGGGTGATGGCTTGCCCTTCCAGCAGCTTTCGCTCCCCAAAGTCTTGGTTGCAGGAAAACACCTCCACTTGTTTCATTGGCATTCAAGAGCACGTCGTTGGGACCAGCCGAATCGCGTTGAACAACCGCCGGCCTTCCCTGATTGCTGCTTAGGAGTGGTGCCCTCGATTGCTGCTCAGGAGCGGTGCCCCTGATTGCTGTTCAGGAGCGATGCCCTTGTTTGCTGCTCAGAAGCGGTGCCCCTGATTGTTGCTCGCGAGCGGTGCCCTCGATTGCTGCTCAGGAGCGGTGCCCTTGGTGGCTGCTCACGAGTGGTGCCCCTGATTTCGACGACGGGGTTCGTCCTGTCCCTACGACGCACCAGCAGTTGCGTCCATATGCCACTGAATAGACGTCTGCCTTGCGAGAGCTCGCTCCGCTCTGTCTGTAGAAGAGGCCTTCCTGAGGTAAATATATAGTGTCGACGCAGAGCCTCGTGAGGCGTTTGATAGAAGCCTTGCTCACGGAAGTGCGTTTTTTCTCGACATACAGGAAAAAGATCTTCAGCTCCTGGTTTTTCAGCATTATGGCGTCAGAGTTCTTGACCTGAGTTATCGACCTCAGATATACCAGGCGGTGCGGCGGCGGTGCGGCGGTGTAGTACACCAGGAGGTGTGGCGGCGGTGCGGCGGTGTAGTATACCAGGAGGTGCGGCGGCGGTGCGGCGGTGTAGCACAACTATTGGTTGGCAGCACTCGACGTCTTAAGCTGGGTTTACGATCTCGAGTGAAGTGCGTCTGTGTAAAGGGTCGTAATCCAAGAGATTTTCACAAACTTCTGGTAGATGCGGCCTCTGATGCGACCTTTCTGACAGATACCTCCGTGAAAATGTTTGTCACGTCAAAGCTAGTGATGATATTAGGCGCGAAATGGCCATTGTAGTCGACGCGCCCTGGAACACCAATAAACAACAAAATGCATCAAAACTGGTGATGACGTCAGTTTTATACACATTCCACTACCGGGTGTTCGTGGCAAACGGTGATGAATGGTTGGTGTTGAAGCTTGGTTTTCATAAGATAGGGGTCATTTTTTCCGTTATTAAAAGGTCATTCTTCTTGCATGGAAACCAACACGTCGGACCATGACCCTTAACGGCATATTGGTCTCACATATTTTGGAACCCGTAGATGACACGAGCTGTTGTGTTTGTAGGATAAGGTATTTTTGCATCCGCGGGGCCAATGTTTGGCCGTGTGTTGCATCTCTTGGGGTAGTCGAAATTTCTTCTCAATTTTCCAGCAAGGTCCTTGTTTAGTAGGTGATAGTCATCATCTGATATGAGACCTTTAATCTTTTTGTGGCATTTTACGACGCCCGTGGCTACGGTGGCATTGCGTTTGTCAGCATGAATATGCTGATCGCTGATGTTTTTGCCTTTCCGCGGTAAACGTATCCTGGACACCTGGCATGTAGTCAAGTTATGTGGAGAAGCTTTAGCTGACCGCAGCAAGCGCGCTGTTTGGTACTGCATCTTACCACTGTCTTGTTTGCACTGGATCGTCTGAGTTCACTGCTGTAGGTCGAACGTAGGCACTTATATCGGTGCAGGAGAGAGCCCCTGTCCAGAGAGGAAACCGATTATTTAAGGCTGGACAAATCGCGTAGTCTGGTGTGTACACGTGTTCTTCAGAGCGGGTCGCATCCGTTATCAGTGTCTGCTGTTGTGGTGCTTATTCCTTGAAAGGCGTTAATTACCCGACATTTGCCATCATTCTTGTGATGTAGCCCCGTTTTGAGTTCTTGTGACGCAGCTCTGGCCACCACGTCACGTGTGCAGTGCGCGAGGGCGTGCTGCAACCACAGCGGATCTCCCGAGTTTGGTCAGTCAGCGCGCCCTCTGCGTTCTCCAACACCTAGTCTTCCTCTCAGCAGACTCACGCGGGCCGAGCAATTTTCTCGGCGTGCGTTGCAAATATGTTATCGTTCATTAAACGCGACGTGCACACCCGCCGCAGACGTATGATTCCTGTGTTGGCAGGGTGCCGTTGATGTACCATATATGACTGTCAGAAAAGGAACACTTGTTTTTAGCTACGATTCCTGATTGGATCGCCTTGTCAATGACAGCAGCAAACACGCTGGATTCAGCCCCGACATAGCTCGCAAGTATTTCCAAAGGAATGCTTTCCACTCGGCCATCGTCTAAACGCAGTTGGTTCCAGAGTTAGTTAGGACCCGTTCCGGGCTCAGACAAGCATGAGCTCATTGGTTCCAGTCCAGTCCAGCTCGTTGGTTCCAGTCCAGTCCAGTTCGTTGGTTCCAGTCCAGTCCAGCTCGTTGGTTCCAGTCCAGTCCAGCTCGTTGGTTCCAGTCCAGTCCAGCTCGTTGGTCCCAGTCCAGTCCAGCTCGTTGGTTCCAGCCTAGTCCAGCTCGTTGGTTCCAGTCCAGTCCAGCTCGTTGGTTCCAGTCCAGTCCAGCTCGTTGGTTCCAGTCCAGTCCAGCTCGTTGGTTCCAGTCCAATCCAACTCGTTGGTTCCAATCCAGCGGCCGACCCTCGGCTGACGGCGTGCGTACAGTCCGCGGCCTGCCTGCCATCTAATGAGGGGGGAGGGGCGTGTCAGCACACCATCAAACTGCTACAGCGTTTGTTACACCACGCTGATGAAGCGTTTCCAGTGTAGCAGCTGTTCCTAAACTGATCGAACGGTCCCAGTTCATTGTCTGCCGCGCAGGTGGTGGGATGGACACAGTGTTGTCCCTGAGATATCGGATTGGTTTCAGCCCCTCCCACCCCCCTCCCGTTTTACTCTCTGCCGATGTTGTGGACCGAGTCCACTGCTTCAGCTAATGGGGTAGATCAGAGATATTGCGAGTCGCGGAAACGCCAGACCCATCGTTATTTTTTGTGTCCCAAATGTCAAGGAAGGCCTGACAATGCCAGCAACCGTGCTCATGTTGCCTCCGGGCTTGGGGTGCTTGAGTTGGACTGAAACCCTTTGTGATACGCTCGCCCGCTCTGGTGTCAGTTGGCTTCTTTCTCTCGGGCCATTGTTGTCGTGGTTTACGACAGTTTTATTGCATCGCCTTCGGCGCCGTGTTCACGGACATCTACGGAATGTCTCACGAGTGTTTCTTTTTCAAAAATACCTTGGTTGCTCGCTCTGTAGCGACATTGGTATGAAGGAAAGCGGATGACACATGATTGATAATTGAGTCGTCTGATTTCTTTTCCTTCCTTCATGCTATTTTAGCTACAGGGAAATACGCAATACGCTGTGTTGAATTAAACCTGCGGAAATCCATAGGCTGATCATTCACCAGGGGCGCCTGGGGCAGGCCAGTCAGCGGCGAAGAGCCCAATGGCGCAGCCAAGATTTCGCCCAGCCGCGGGCCAGATCAAGTAACGAGGGCCCCTTCTAGCCAAGGGGTTGCGATTTGTCGCTTAATGTGTCCTGTTTTTAAATCTAGGGCCTAATGAGGCCCAGAATCCTATTTTGATGTTCCTAGGTTATTTATTTCCACATTTTTAAAAGGAATTCGGCCATTCTAAGCTGCTGAAATATGATGTGACCTTCGGCCACAAGATGTATCACGGCCTGGGGGGGGGGGAGGGGGGCACTACCGTCAGGGGTGAGCGAAAAGCTCCCCATTTGGCTAGTGGACTGGAACGAGAAAGTTAATCGTTCTCCTGATTTTGGAGAGCATTGAATTGCTCTCTTATCATCATGATATAATTCCGTTTGAACCTCAAGTTTTATGGCATGCATCACCACGGCTCTGCCGCCTCAAATGCACCTTCGAGCCTCTTATAAAAACCGTCGGCAACAAACACACGCGACTGCGTGCAACTGTGAGCGTGCACGACAAGAGAAAGTCGGTTACAGCACAGATGTTTGAAAGGCTCCAACCACCAGCCGATTCACCGGAGCGTTCTGCGGCCAAGCTGTGTCGCCGCCGACGAAGCTTGGACCTCTATCGCGCGCGGGAAGTTCGCCGAGGCTCAAAGTATTTGGGCTGCAGGATTTGCAATCAGGGTGTCTAAATGCCGAAACTTCAGTTCCCCCCAATTTCGGGAAGACGGAGGGAAAAATCCGAGGAGGAACCTGTTTGTTAGCATATTATTGGGGGTAGCTGGGTCATTTTTCACTGTTCAGCTCCCCCCCCCCCCCCCAACTCATTTAGTAAAACTACGCCCATGTCTACGAGTGAAAAATTGCCGAATTGTTGGCATTTTCCGTTCAACTTTAAAGGAAACTGCTGATAGACTGCTGCAGCTAGTACGTGTCCATCACCCACGACTGGTTCGGTTCTCTGATACCCATTAGCCCTTGTCAACCCCACGTGAACAACAGCGCAGGTTCTCTGGCCTCAACTGCGGGCAACTTGCCCTTTCTCGAATGTGGCCACAGGAGGTGCCATGTCCAGCGTGACCTTGTCTCCAACACTTGCCCAGTTTCCCAGACGTGCAGTGGTTAACGCGTTTGCGTTAACCACTGCGCGTCTGGGAAACCAGAGGTACGGAGTTCGATTCCCCGCGATACCCGCCGTTCCTGCCAGGGTGGGATGCAGGCGACGCCATATATCCCCAGCAACTGAGTGCGCCGTGAAGCCCTAACGCCCCCCCCCCCCCCCCCCCCAACCTCATGGCAAGCCGCAGCGTGCAAAGGAGCATGCTCTAACCCGTCTCGCCTGCCCGCTGCAGATCCGACGCTCAGCACGGTATCAAAGGCCTCGCTATGGTCGACTACTACCGCATCCTGGAGGTGCCCCGGAACGCTTCGGCAGAGCACATAAAAAAGGCGTGAGTAGCTGGCTTGCGACCTTGCAGTCGCGCCGTGGGAAAGTGACCAGGTATGCCTCGTTTGGTGTGCAGCAAGGGTGGCAGAACCAGGGAGGCATGGTTGGTGAGATAGTGCAGGCGGTAAAATCTACGTGGCGGACAGATTTCGTCAATTTTCCTGTCAAATGCAGTTTCTCTCGGTGTGCACGTCATTGAGAAGATGGGAGATGACAAACATGTTAATGCCAGGAAAAGCTGGTGTGGCCGGTGCCGCATCGGCCTGGATTTGATGGCTACCCAGCTATGGGTGTGCAACACGAGATGGCTTGCGGAATTTTTTTGCGACATTCTGAATGATGTCAATGGTTTTATGGTTGGGTGCTCAGGTTTAGCACTGTCGGTCTTCTGTGCAGCCTTTAAAGGGAGTGATCCATATTCGTATGGTGTTTTGAACTGAAATAGCCATATTGAAGACGTTCTGATGCAGGTCACGGCCGTGCCCTTTTTGAGGCCTGAAACCCTGCGCTTCCTGAGTTGAAAGGCCGCAAAGATGGGGGAGAGTCTTGTGAGAGAGCATTTCAAGTTTATCTTGACATTTATGGCATCATGATAACGCCATTCAAATCGTGCTATTCCGCAAGCCATGCGGCGATCAAGGCAAATAGTGTGATGGTCGAGTCGCTTATATCTGGCGTTCGTGAGCACGGTTCCCAGATATCATGACTGTCAAGTGGCTCTCGATCAATGTTGTGCAAGGAACGATGATGTGATCAAACATTGACGGGTTGAGGAGCATATTTACTAAACAGAGACATCGTGTTGTCTGCAGCAGTCTTTTCTTCTTAAAAGTACATCAATATTTATAAGTGTGCTTGTTTCATTCTGTCTGCTGCTTGCTTCAATATCTTCAAAAATGAAATATTTTCTTTAAGGCTGCACCACTGCATCTCACATGATGCCTCATAAAGGCATTCGTCTCGAAATGGTCCTGGCTATCGGTGAGACGTAAAGCCCAATGATTTTTATGAAAGGTGTTATCCTTTTAGGCAAGGCGGGACTTCGATTGTGCTGAACAATATTGTTTCCATCCTTCAGTCAATGGCTGTGGACACTCGTCGGAGGAGATGGCGGCCAAATGCGATGTTTGGTCTGTCTGGTACAACACCGCAGTACTCATGTCGTATTGTTTTCAGAAGATGGCAGAGGTGTCAATTTTTGTAAATTACTGGGGCGGGGGGGGGGGGCCAAAGCGAAAGCCGGACAACCAACCCCCCATTTTGCTTGCTGGATATAGCCCATTTTATTTTGATTAAACGCAATATATGTTTTTAATCTTTGTAAAATTTAACAGTCATTAATTAAAGCAGTATAGAAGTCATGCAGGGTTGGACCCAGGGAACAGGCACTGGACGTACGCATCCCTTCTGATCGGCACGTGAAGGCGCCCATTTAGAGGCCACCTCAGGGCGCCGATGGCGCTCTTCTGTGGCGGTCAGGGGAGGCGGCACGCATTTTCGTTGTGTGGGACGCGGCCGGGGTTAGTCATGAAGGACTTAGGTCATTCCCATATTCCAAAGCTTTTCACTTTAACCTCACAGACTACTGCGTGCCTTATGACGCTGGCGTTTGCTGGCGTATGTTATGGTATGTAAAGTTTATTGCATCGTTTATTCAGCAACTATGACTTTTTGTTATGAGAGTGGTACTAGACGCCACTGGGCAGAAAAATCAAAGAAGATATTCTTTGTATTATGATCATCCTTAACCCACGTTTTTTGTAGTATTCCTCTCAAAAGCATGGAGGGAGCAAACCAACATTGGGGGCCCAACTAAACATTGGGGGGCCGGAACCCTCACAAAAAATACAAATCGACACCCGTGAAAGATTGAGTTGGGGTGGCACCCGTGAAAGATTGAGTTGGGGTGGCTGTTCTCTCTGCTCGCTCCTGCGTCCCAGGCATTACTTAGTGGCAAAAATCAACAAAAAAAGTGGTAATTTACTGGCCAAGTAGTTCGCACGTTCTGGACCTCGAAAACATTGCCTTGTCGCTCTGCCTGTGACGCGTCGCGTACAACCACCAGCCGACGGCGAGTCGGCGCTGGTTCTTGACCTTTTTCACCGGTGGCTGGTGTTAACTCAACACGAAAATCACCTTTATGAGGTGTTGCGAAAGCAATTCTCAGCAGTGTACTTATGAATGATGTGGTGACGAGATTTTGGCTAACACGCCCCAACATCAGGACTTCCCGTTGGTTTTACCTGACATCTGGTGGTTAGTTCTCGAACGTACAGTACGGGCAGTGGCCATGGCAAGCACGCGAATCGTGTTGCCTAAAGCAACTGACGCCTACCGGCCTCCCCAACGTCGGGCTTCCGCATCATTCTTGTTATGTATGTACCGAACCACCTGTCCTATGTTCCTGTCGTGGGCTGTATGCGTGTAATTAGCCCCCCCCCCCCCCAATGCGTGAACGGTCACGGTCTACTGTTGGCGCAGATACCGCAAGTTGGCGCTGCAGTGGCACCCCGACAAGAACCTGAACAACAAAGAGGCCGCCACTATCCGGTTCAAGGAGATCTCAGAGGCGTACGAGGTGCTGTCGGACGGTGAGTGTGGCCCGCAGCGGCTGTCTTCCCGGGCCCTCGAAATACGACTGAGATTGGAACACGAATAACTTGACAAATAGAGCTGCTGAGAAAGCTAGGAGGTCGGGTAACCGAGCGCTGCTGAATGTCAGCAGAGTGATTGTGACTGAGGATCTGAGGAAACGCTGGGGACGTTGCGACCGAGCGTCGATGTTAGCGTTTGGAAAGAGGACGCACACCGTGCTGTTTATGCTGGCGTTAAGAGCTGGCGTATGTGCTGATACTGAGAAGAACGGAGGCCGACGTGGCTGGCCGTGGTTTGGACGTGGATGTGACGTAGACGGCCGTGGCCGTTGTGCGATGCCGCACTGACCTGCGCTCGTCCGCCGCGCCCAGAGGCCCGGCGCCGCCTGCACGACGGGCAGCTGCGGGCGGCGGCTGAGCCGGCCCGACGGCCCTCCCGCCCCCGTGGCCTCCACAGCTGGCCCCTCGCCCGGCTTTTCGGTACAGGGCGTGCCGTGTGCTCCCCGTCTAACCCCGCCGTAACCGAGCGCCGCCGCGCCCGGCTCGCACGTGGGCCGACTGTGTGCCCTTCCCTCCCCTTCCCCTCGGGCGTGTGGCGCGTGTGTGCACTGAGGAGGCACGTGGGGCATGACGCTGATCACGCACACCCGGACGCGTGTCCGGTGCCACTGCTGTCGTCTTATATATATCCTGTCGCTGAAGTGTCCAATAACCCGGCAGGTGGCGTGTGGCTCGTGCTGACGGACCCTCGTTTGCATGTCTAGGCTTTCAGGCGGTGTGTGAATTAGCCATGCGCCCCTAACAAAGTGCGCGCTCGCATCCGCTCCGGGCCAGCGTTTGGTGACTGTGAATCATGCCGGCTGTGATACATTGGAGGTGACACCATGCTTTCAATGCATCAGTGAACATACACCTAAACGTATATTGGTTGGATCGGTAGCATTTCACTGATAGAACGCTGCTATGTGGTGAAGCTCTGGTAACACTAATAAAATGCAGGCGAATTGAGGTCATAAAGAGCGCTAGAAGGTTAGTTCCACGGACTTTCGAGTGTCCAAAATGATCATTCGTTTGATTTCTGTCGGAGTAACACCATCTGGCCGTCTGCTTAACATAGCAACAAGCGTGCAGCGGGTGTTTGTGGGGGCGGTTTGTTTGGCACACCCCGGTGACCCTGGATGGGGAGCCTTGGCGTGCTTGATGGACTGTCCTAGTAATTGCCTTGGTACCTGCAGCGATCGCCGTCGACGCTCTGCTAAACGTCATTCAACCGAGCTGACGACCAGCCGAGGCTGGGGTGACTGCGAGGCTGAAGGCAGCCACCCAGATAGCTGATTATCCCAGGCTCCGGTCACCACCAATGCCCAATCCAACCAACGGTGCCGAGTGAAAACCTAGCAATATAATTACCGGGGTGGACCATTGAGTCGTCTGACAGGCGCAGCCGCCTCTCCAGCGTTATTTAGATATGTGTCCCCACAGCCTCCGCACGCGCTCACCGTAACGGCGCCGCTCCCGCTCGCAGAGAAAAAGCGGAAGGTCTACGACCGCTTCGGCAAGGAGGGCCTGAAGAACGGCGCCACGTCCAGCCACCACCATGCACCGCATGGCTTCCCCGAGCCCGACCTGGGCTTCATGTTCGGCGGCTTCAGCTTCCGCGACCCTGAGGACGTGTTCCGCGAGTTCTTCGGCGGCGACCCGTTCGCCGACTTCTTTGATGGTGAGCGTCCCGCCGTGAACGCTTGGCCGTGGCTGGGGACCGCACGGGGAGGTGGGCGGGCAGAGCCGCTGGGGCGAGCATTCTAATCAGCGGACAAGTTTACGATTATGCTAATTTGGAGTGAAGTTCGGCGTGGCCACCGCTGCGCCCGCCACACGCTGCTACCCAGCCGGGCGCCGGCCCCGCTTGTGGCGCTCGAGGAGTGTGCACGCTCCGAAAATGGCCGCCGTTAAAAAGTAACGCTAACGAAGTGTGCTAGTCGGACGGGTGGAACTCAAGCCTGTCTGCGTGCTTGTGTCGCCCTGCTTAACATACGTCTCAGTCGACATGCTTAAGGTATCAAGTTGAAAGCGCTGCACTCGCCCGGCTTCCCCAGCCTAGCTTATTAGGAGCGTACGGCCGGAAGGCTTGGCCCCTAAGCTTGCATCACATCACATTTATGGCTGCCTGTCGCGTGGATCGTTTGCTTTGTGTATGAGGTCGCGTGTGCGCGCGTGTTCGTGTTCTGGCGATTGTTGGACCACCTGAATTGCCGCTGTTCAGCCATCGCAAATTGGAAGAGTTGCTGTGATCTCGCGCTCGGCTCCGCGAGGGAATGCGCGGTCTTGCGAGGCAACTCTGGATCTCACCCGGCTCCTCAAGCCTTGGTCTGACGCCCCCCTCCTCCCACTCACCGACTCCTTCCCTGCCAGGTCACTGGCCTCAGCACCCCGGGGTTCCCCGTAATCACAATGCCTCTGCCAGCCTTCTGAGAGATACGCCAACAATTGCCGGAGGCTCCGACGCTATCGCGGCGAGAGCGAGCGAGCGCGTAGCCTGGGGACCGGCACGACAAAGGGACGGGCCAGATTGCCGGCGCGACACCTGGCGCGCCGCCACCTGCCTTACCAGCGTCGCGACGGGCCCGGCGTACGACTCAGGCCGCTGCGTGACTCACCCGAGACGCTGCGTCCGTCAGGTCATTACACAAAGAGCCGACCTGGCGCCGCGGCCGGCCCATTTTCTAATTGCCGGCACGTCGGGGCCAATGTCGATTTGGGCGTGCCCGTCTTGAAAGCGCCGGAAAGCTACGTGGCCCGAGGAGACGCTTAAGAGGGGGGGAGGGGGGGGGGGGCTTTGGCTTAATACCGGGCGGGTGACGCGCCGCTGATCCCGGCGGGGATCGGGCGGGATTACGCAATCGATCAGCACCGGCCGTGGTAGGCCGTCGGCCGACCGGGCCGGCCCGCTTCCGCGCCGACCGTCGCTCACTGCGGCGTAGACGGATTACCTTCCAGACGGCCGTGGGGTCCATGGCTGTGAGTCAGACGTCTGGAGCCAGATGACCCATCAGCTAGCTGTAGCTGTTCAATCCACTACTAGACGTTCGCTTGGTCTCCGGGTTTTCCGCCCAGCCAGTCACTCGTTCCGTTCTGGGTTTCGTGCTGCTCCGACGAACGCTCGCTGCCCCCATTGATGGCATCTGTCTGGCATCCCCCCCCCCCGCACCCCAGCGGTCCTCGACCGACCCCGTCTCAGGTCGAGCATTTCTCAGTCTCCGAAACCCCAACTAGACTCTGCCCCGGCTCTTACGCCATCGCTGGTCAGTCTCCAAACCCCCTTACTAGACCCTCCCCGATCTCTGCCCCGCCCCCAACTGTCCCCGAACTCATAATTAGGCCTTTCCCCGGTCCCTGCTCCGTCCCCGATCTAGCATCTCTCAGTCCCCGAACCCGTAACAAGACCCTTCCCTGATCACCGAATCCCCAACCAGACCCTCTCCCAGTCCCTGTCCCATCCCCGGCCGTCCTGCAGCTCCTCTGCCCCCTCCCCTTCCCTCCCCCACCCTCCCGCACAGCCTCCGTCTCCCTGACCACAGCGGCGGTGGCAATCAGCCGGCCCTGCCCACCTGCGCCACCGCGGCCGCCTGAATTAAACAGCGACTGCAATATTGGCTGTTGGCTTCGATGCCCCGACACTCCCCGGTCCCGTAATTGTAATCGATTCGAAGCTGGCGGAAGGACCGCGCGCGCCCGCGAGGAGTACGCTCATCGACCTGACGCCAGCAACCTTGCAATGGCCATTGGCGTGCATTACAGTAATTGCCGCCGTCGCTCCTAGCGGAGAGCGGACCGCTCGCGTGTTTGTGTGCCGCCTGTGGCGCGTGTCCGTCTTGTGTCCGTGTGTGGCTGTCCGCGCTGGCCGCGCTATCCCTGCGCGACCCTGCTGCTCGCGCCTTTTTTCGCCGCTCGACCGAGCCGTGCCTCGCTTCTCCGCCTCTGACCAACGCGCACGTAGACTTCTTCTCGTCAGGCACGATGGAGCCGCTGGGCGGCGTGGGGCCGCACCGGAGCCGCCACAGCCGCAGCCGCAGCCGGCACCATCCGGCGGCGCCGGCGCCCGCCCACCAGCTGCTGGCGTCGCCGCTCTTCTTCTCGCCGCTCGGCTTCACAGGCCTGGGCAGCATGATGTCCTCCTTCGCCGCCATCGACGCCGTGATGGACGGTCGCGGCGGCCACGCCGGCCTGGCGCACGGCGCGCTGGCGCACCACGGCCTGGCGCACCACGGTGGCCTGGCGCAGCACGGCTTCGTGTCGTCGACGAGCTTCAGCAGTCTGGGCTCGCCCGGCGCCGGAGTCAAACGCACGTCCACCAGCACCAAGTTCGTCAACGGCAAGAAGATCACCACGCGGCGGTGAGTGAGCGGGTCGCCAGCGTGCTTTGCTGTGCTGGACGCGGCGTGGAGGGTGGGGGCTCAAGCCGTTGGACGACGTCGGAATGTCGGCCAGTTTCGGTCGCGATTAATTGCTTGCTTCCGCCGGACGAGACTCTGCAGATAGGCGGGTGAGGCGCAACAGCGGAGACGCCGCTGCCTGCGAGTACTCGATGAGACCCCCCCCCCCCCGCCCAGGGCTACACGCTTAGTCGCTCATTAATTCCACATGGCAGGGCGGAAATAGTTCAGTGCCGGAACGTTCTCTTTTTTCGAGCGGTGTGGTTGCATTTGCTACATATGAGAGCAAACGAATGGAATGCAATGCGACGTTCTACCAATTATCGCGATAAATGAAATAAGAACGATCTGATCGTTGTTGATTGACGTTTAAATTACCATGCCGTTTGGTTTCATTGATTCTAATGCCTGAGTGACGCATGTGTCCTGTCTTTCACTGCTTGTCAAATATTTACCGTGATGATTCGTTGATCCATATTCCCATGGTCACTCCTCCCCGCGACCCCACTCTGACACAACACAACGTCAAGGCAAGGGGAGGACCAGTGGTCATGACGAAGCGGCGTCGCCGACGCCAGCGGCGCGTGGACCGAGCCGAGTCTGCCGCGCTCAAATGGCTGCTAGCCGCCTCAAACGGCCTGCAAACACTCACGGGCGCCGAAATGCATTGCCGCATTTGTGCCGAAATGGTGCCGTCGTGTGGACTAGCGGTCGTGTCATTGCCGGGGCTGGCGGCGGCAGCGGCGGGATTGGGGGGGGGGGGGGTCTCACTGGACACAAATAAGCCGATGGGTAACGGCTCGCCCGCCTCGCGGCCGCGCCCAAGTGGAATGCAGCGTCGAGCGTCAAAGGTCTGAAAGAAGCATGCGATGAGCTGGAGTGTTTTGGGTTTTGAAACAGCGTGTTCTTGCATTTTGATTGGAGATGGTAGCAAGAAAATCGAGCACACGAAACGATGCGGCATTGCGTATGTGTTCGTGGTTTTCATTTTATTTTATTATGAAGGTTTTGTTGGATTCCTGAAATATTTGGCTCGTTGCAAAGGAGTGTTCCACATTTATATGGGGGTTTTGAACTGAAATAGCCATCTTGAAGACCTTTCGGTACTGTTCACTATCTCGCCCTTCTGAATGCCTAAGTCCCTGTAGTTGCTGAGCTGCATGCCTGCAAAAAATGGGTTAAGGTGTATCGGGGAGAGTATTTCAAAGTCACCTTGGCATTCGTGAGATCATGATAACGTCATTCAAATCTTGCCATTCCGCAGGCCATGCGGCGATCAAGGCCAAAACATAGAATTGTTGAGGCATGCATATCTAGCGTTCTTGAGCGCGATTTGCCGATATGACGGCCATCGATTGGCTCTCAATCAATGTCGTTCAAGGTGCGATGACGTAAGCAAACCATAACGCATTGAGAAGCATATTTACTAAACAGAGCACTGTGCTGTCTGGGCCAGTCTTTCCCATTTAAAAGTATAAGAGTTATAAGATAGTTATAAGAGGACTTGTTTCACCATATGTGATGGTCGCTTCAATATCTTCAAGCATGGAGCATTTCCTTGAAAGCAAGTTCGTGCTCGTGATCGTTCGTCAGATTTTACATAGCCAGATCCAAGTTAGCTGCGATTTCGATATTAATGCATTATTCAAGACGTATCAATCCAGCGCGACGCTGGCGGCTTAGGCTTCAGTCCATAAGAGGCACTCCGCTGGCGGCTTAGGCTTCAGTCCATACGAGGCACTCCGCTGGCTGTGAGCAGCGCTAAAGCCTGGTTGCCCCGCCTGCACCGAAGTCATTGATCATTTCAAACCTATTTACTCGCAGCAAGTAGACTTGTGGTTGCCGTCGTATTTGATCACGAATGTTGCCGCTTATACAGCTTTGGGGAAGTTTTTCTGAAATTTAATCAAATTATAATGGTGTTGCATGGTTGTTGTACCGTATGCTTGCTGTATGATTTGGACGACCCAGATGTTTACCACACATCGCAGTTCATAATGCATCATGCCGTGCCATGACGTGTAGCGGTGACTGGAAACTTGCATTTATCGCACATTCTTGTTTTTGTGATGGTCGCTAAAGGCAGCACCTTTCCTTTAACAAGTGACCATATGCGTATTCCTAGGTGTCTTTAAAGGCAATGTGGCTACTCCGGGACCCTTCTGTGTCGACCAGTCATCTAGAAGTGAAAAGGTTTCTCGTAAGAAATATTGCAAAGGCGTTGACATTATTTGATGCACATGGGGAGCGTTCGGACAGTAATCGGCTCCGTCACGTGGTAGGACAGCTTTTGCTTTACGAGGTTGCAAAGTGCTACAAATGCTCGTAGTTCGTGCACTTAGTGTGCCTGCATGGAATGAAGTGGGATGCCTGCAGATTCCACATGCAGAAGTGCGTGTACTTGACGAGTCTTCTGCCAGTTACCAAGTTTTATACTAACTTTAACTCAGTGTAGTGGCTTTCCCGATGAGTTGTGGGAGGGTGCGGGGGATGGGGATTGGGGGCACAGATCGCATCTTATTTCGCCTCCATGCAGTCATCTGGCTTGCGTCTTTGGCGGATCTCCCATCCCCCCTCCCCCCTCCCATTACTGAAAATCTCACCACGCCATATAATTTTTGTTGGCAGAAAAGTCGCAAACGCAGAGGAGCGTGGTTGACTCGATCCTTGCCGAGCGCGGGGGGTATAGTGGTTAGGTGCTCGGCTCTGGACTAGTGGGTCTTGGGTGCATCCCACACGCTACCTAACAAAGGTATCCATCTCGAAATGGCCCTGGCAGTCTGTGAGACGTAAAGCCCCAATCATTGGCATCCTTGCCGAGGGATTAGTCGTTTTTGTTTGGCGATCAAGTGCAAGCTCGTCACGTTTTCAGCTCTTCGTGGTATATGGAAGTGGATAAGCTGCCGAAAGCCTTCGTGCCGTGCAAGATGGCTACCGCGACCATCCTGCGAGTTGGCTTGTGTCGAAGTTAATGACACAGATCGGCATTGTGAAAGCCGTCTGCCTTGCATCGACCTCGAAAGTTGCTCCCAGCTCAAGAAGTTGATTGGGTCGTGTCTCCCTCGTGAGCAATAATGGATGAAGCCTGCTCGGTGAAATGAATTCCCCAGGATACCGGTGCGGACATCATTTCCAGCGGCGCGTATAACTCGCTGCGACATCTCCGCTCTTCCCCGGGTAACCGGCCCGCGTGGGAACATGAGCCGTCTCCTCAGAACATCCCGATCGGTACGCCAGTCGTAATCGTTAGGCTGGCGCGTCAGTGCTACGCCGATGCACTGCAGCAATGCGAGCGTGTGCTTCGGCGTGCGTGTCTTGACGTGCGTGTTTTCCGGTCATGCCTCCCTTCCCCCCCCCCTCCCCCCCCCCCTCCCCCCCCCCTTCCTCTCACTGTCGTCCCCTCTGCCCGCAGGGTATACGAGAACGGACGGGAGACGGTGGACACGTACGAGAACGACGTCCTCAAGCAACACACCATAAACGGGGTGCCGCAGCAGCTAGCGTACTCACGATAGGAGCCGGGACCGCGGGCGGCGCCCCAGCCCTCCCCGCGCCCCCGGCCCGCTCGGCCGCGGTAGGAGCCGGGACCGCGGGCTGCGCCCCACCCCCGCGCCCCCGGCCCACCCGACCAGGACCTCAGTGACGGCGCACGTGGCCAGCCGTAATGAGGTCACGGTACGCCATCGATGGTGCCGGCCCGGTCTCGTCACGTGGCATGCCCGAGCTTTCAGCGTGTCGTGGAGGGGCGCCAGTAGCGCGCGCCCGTTTGTGTTCGATATCGTCGCGCGGCGCCGCGCGGCCGCAGCCGGCGACCATTCCTGGAGGGTCTGTGTAACACATAGAACAGTTTACTTTGACCTTGTTCACAAACACTGTGTTCGGAAATAATACATAATCCTCGATTCGTCCGCGCCGGGCCGGTTTTTGTGTCGGAAGGCGGTGATGGCAGTGCGGAGCATCCGGTCGCTGTGCCGAACTGGATGGTGAAACGGGCAACTGGCTCGTCTGAATCAAGGACGGCCGTTGTCCTCAGTGACACTGCGAACGAAACTTCAACGCCGCATGTCACGCTGTTACGTCAACCGTCCATGCCGTTGGCATAGAACGGAACCACTCTGCCCGCCACATGATCTTTGTGGCTGTGTGTCGGGCACAGGTGTCCAACAAACATTGTGTACCCGGCGCATGATCGCCGTCTGGCTGTGTGTCGAGAACAGGTGCCCAACAAACGCTCTGTGCCCGCCACATGATCGCTGTCTGGCTGTGTGTCTGGCACAGGTGCCCAACTTCTCACGAATGCATCCCCGATCTTACTCACTTCGGAAACATGACGCACCCAGCACGCCCCAGGAGTCGAGCTAAGCATTGAAGAAATGATATGTTGGCACACATTCGAGTAAAGCGAAGCAGCGAATGATGGATGGAAGTAACTAGTCGGGGCGATTACGGGGATCGATGGCTCCTCGCTGCCGCTTCAAGGTACCCCAGTCGGGCGCTGATGGTCACGACCAGGACTACCGTCACTGTTACCACCATCGGGCGTCGATGCTAAGGTCAGAGTTCACTGTCTCCGTCCTGAAGTACCTCCCTGAAGTACCAGCGCACATGGGTACCGAGGTCTTAGATCGCTGTTACTGTCCCTGAGCCTCTATCGGACCGGATGTTGAGATCTGAGATTGTCGTCACTGTCCCTGAGTCACCATCAGACCGCGTGTTGAGATTGTCACGGTCCCTGAGTCACCATCGGACAGGATGTTAAGATTTGAGATTATCGTCACTGTCCCTGAGTCACCATCGGACCGCATGTTGAGATTGTCGTCACTGTCCCTGAGACACCAGCGGACCGCGTGTTGAGATTGTCGTCACGGTCCCTGAGTCACCATCGGACAGGATGTTAGGATCTGAGATTGTCGTCACTGTCCCTGAGTCACCATTGGACCGCATGTTGAGATTATCGTCACGGTCCCTGAGTCACCATCGGACAGGATGTTGAAATTTGAGAGCAATGTTCTCAACATTTTCAGGGAATCCCAAAAGATTCCTTGAAGTACAATCGACACGGTACAGCTATCTGGGATGATCGCCTCTGTCCCTGGACCGCCCTTGATACTAATTCCTAGGTGTGGAGGTGCCTTGGGTGGAAAATGCGATGTAGCAGGTGTGGCAGTGCGCATCACTTCTGTAGAAATAAGCAGCACGTCGCCCTTTTGCCGATGAAAGGTAGTAATCCTTACACCTATGCCAGTTTACTTCGCACCGTCCTCCATCCGTGGGTGTGTGTACCGCCGTCGCCTGAACCGCCATTGATTGTTGCCGAGGTGAAAGGTGGCTGTTATCGTCACTGACGCAAAAGACGGAGAGAGTTGACGAGACATCACTGTTCCATGTAAGTTGATATGCCTGACGCCACTCCTGTCACATGCGTATCGACGCACATGTCAACAAAGCACGACCCCACGCCTGTGCATCGCCGATCCGTACGTACGCGCCGTGTGTCCAGGTACACGGAGGCGCATGCGAGCGCGCAATGGCTCATGCGTACCAGCGCCCTGTCGCCGTGTACTGCTTACGCCTGCGCGGTCCGTGCCGCTGTCAGCCGCGCGACACGTCGATGGCACGGCCAGATCTCGTGCGAACGCGGCTCGCCGTGGCGCGGCGCGCGCCGTCGGTGACGACCGCGCGCACAGTCCCTCCCAGAGACGGGCCGAGACATTGATTATCGACGCCATACCCAGTCGATCTATACACAGACCTGCGTACATGCTCCGCCAGCCGCAACGACAATTAGCCGATAGCCTCCCCCGTCCCCGCCCCGCCCACACCGTAGCCCCCCCCCCCCCCTTAATGGCACGTCACGTCCGATGTCCGCTCTTCGAACGACGCATCAACGGGCGGAACCTCGACACGTCGATGGACCAGTCCTTAACGTAGCTGGGCGGCAGGGAGGGGGAGGCACCACATGTGGGACGTCATAGGAACTGAAGCACGTCCGAGTGTGCCTGGAAACACAGCGCGTTCTTGAAGGCTTTTGGCTGGGTTGTCCCAGGGATGTTTTCTATGTAAAGGGGCGTATGGTGTCGCATTCAGTGGCGCAAATAAAGACAAAGTGACCCCAATTCTGCAACTCAACGATGCTCTTGTTCTGGTTTCTGCCATCGCGGCGTTAGTAAGCAGCGTTTTTTTTCGTAGGAGGAATGGGGGAAATCTTTGTAAGTGCGTTATTCAAAGTTTTAATTTGCTTTTGCTGACCGGGGGGGAGGGCAGAGAGTCGCGTAATACGCCAGACAACAAGCCTTCTTCAAAATCCGATGTTTGTCATCCTGACACAGAATTTGGACTGAAAACGGAATTGATCTCACGGTGGCTTCTGTGCTTCTGGCTGCATTGGTAGAAAGGTAAACATAACAACAAAAACAAAGAAAGCCGTGTCCCTGATTAATAGCTGATTCATATCCGACCTTTCTGGAGGGGGGGAGGGGCCTTAAAGTATCAAAGAACTTTTTACCAGCAGGAGCCCTCCCACCCTGCGGGCGGCTCCACTAGGAGGGCGGGTCTATGCAGGCTGAGTGTGCCCTCTCCCGGCACCTGCGGGCGGCTCCACTAGGACCGGGCGGGTCTGTGCAGCCTGAGTGTGCCCTCTCCCGGCACCTGCGGGCGGCTCCACTAGGACTTGGGGGGCACCCGTACTTAGCCTGCCTGTATATTTGGGTGGGTTCCTTTACCACAGGTTCGGGAGCTTATTTATCAAGACTCTAGGGGTGCCACTCTAGGGTGGGGAGGCTCCAATCTAGCTAGGCTCAGCACATCTCTGTCTGAGCTTGGGACACAGCTCTTCCTAGGCTTGGGGTCCGCGTGGCCTTGGTCTGGTTACTACTCCTCGTGGTCTTGGGATGCCTTCCATCTGGATTTCCATGCCTTGGGTTGCCTTCTATCTGGAGCTGTCCCGACCGCTTCACTTATATCTCCCTCACCCGATCTTGAGAGTGCCGTTCTCCCTAGTCCTCGTGACGTATCCAAGTTTGCTTCCGGTAGCAAGGATGTATTAATCGAGAGAAGTGCGCCCAAATCCCCCGGCGCTACAGGAAGATGGGGAGGAGAGTGTGTCCTAGGATCGCTTGGGGTGTGCCACTGCTACTATCTCAGTTTGTGAAGTTGTGACGACGTTTACTTCGAGCAAAACTATGGTCAGGTTCATGGCCGAGGTGCGATTAGGTTACGGACGGCTGGGGTTAGGCTAGGCCTGTTAGCCAATCTTCAGAAGTCAGGTTAGTTGTTTGTTGGTTTTAGATCAGGCCAATGAGGCGTTCATCCGAGGTCAGGTCAGCAGGTTGCTGTCAGGTCAGCAGCAGCAGCAGGTTCGGACAAACAGGAAGGCGGCAGCTGGCCTGGGGCCAGCTCCCGTTTCAGAAGACTGGTAGATAATCGTGGCATGCATTGCTCCTCCTCTGGTCGTCTGAGCCACGGCTCCTTTCCACGGCTCATTTCCTATCGACAGTTGTGTGCTCATCTTAAACGAATCGCAAGGGTCGTAGCTGATCACTGCAGAGATATGAAATCCTGTGATCCAGCATCGCGGACGCCGAACCGCCGAGACTCTCAGTCCAATGTCGGCTCCGCAGAGATGGCCATTTTATTAATCTCCCGATGCTAAGTGCACGAACAGAGCCCTCCCCAACTTATGTTACCTCTCCGAGGATTCGGAACCGCTCGGTGACCGCTGAAACCAGGAGCTCTGTCCCCGACGCTGCGTCCACGTGTCTCGTGTCCGGGGACCCGGCAGCCTATTGCTGACCTTTTCGAGCCCGCTGGGGGTCGTCCACTAATTATCAGGCGCATCATTAGTAGCCGGAGCCGACTCACTCACAGCCCGCAATCCCGCTCGGGTCGTGCCCTGGGGCTCCGGTCGGATCCGGACCGGACCGGGCCGGATGGGACCGGCCGGACCGTGGCTGCCGGATGGATGGACCGGACCGTGGCTGCCGGATGTGGAATCCGGACCGGACCGTGGCTGCCGGATGTGGAATCCGGACGGACCGTGGCTGCCGGATGGACTGGACGGACCGCGGCTGCCGGATGCCGGAACCGGACCGGACCGTGGCTGCCGGATGCCGAATCTGGACCGGACCGCGGCTGCCGGATGCGTTGCCATGGCAACCGCCGGTGCTGAGG